AAAAAAAAAAAAGTAACATAAGGGAAAGGAAAGTCATTCTCAAACTTTACCTTTGATCTGAACACCTGGAGAGTCTGTAAAAGAAACTTTAACCTGAACGTTCACATTTCAACAGTTCTGGGGTGAAACTGTATTTTTCATAAGCTCCCAGGTGATTCTGATTCAGTTGGTCAAAAGTAATGCTGGGCTGGACAAATACCAGGATTTACAGCACTTGGCTGAGGTAGTTGGGCAGGCTGCGCCCAGGTTCAGGCTGAAATGCTCTGTTGTAGCTTGAACATGTCTAGCTGGAGATGCTGGGTTGTTTGCTTCAGCTCTACCTTCACCCAAGCCAATTGTGTTCAATGGTGAAGTTGGAGAATACAGGTATGAGGCCCAGTCCTGGGAAAGATACATCTTGGGGAATAAGACCATGGAATTGGTAAGAGTCAATGAACACAGGTTCTGCTTCTAGAAAGTGATCAGCTTGAACACATTTTAATTTGTTTTCTGGCTCTACTGGTGTGTGTTTTAATAACATAAAAGCACTGTTAAATCTCAAATAGGGAAACAAGATTATTCTGAGAAAGACAATCAAATGTGCTAGCAAAGCTATTTAATAACACCATGTCAATAAAGATGAACATCCTACCCTAATTAATTTTATTCAAAAAACTTAGCAAATATTTAGAACAGGCAGGATGTTGTTGGGTAAACAGAGAAGTTTGGACTGTTGGCATGGAATTCAGCTGGGCAAAGTGCCTGTTTGCTTTGTGGGATAGTGGGATTATTGTGACATTGAGATGGGTCTCAGTCTGATGAGAATGATCCATTGCCTGGAAACAAGAGTGATTCAGTAAGATGCACAGGAGCAAGAACTTGTTTTTGAGGAGCCCTCTGGTCTTGAAACATTTGCTTCCATGACCCTTGACCTTCCTGGGGGCCAGGCTCTGTGAATGGTGCTACACTATGGAGAGTTTGCTCCACTGTCTAGGGCACTTGGCTCGGTGGAAGCCATTGATCTGGAGTCTGCACACCTATTTAAGCTCTGTCTACAAGCCAGGTTTTTGCCCCCTTGAGCAAGGCACATAACATCTATGAGGCTCTGTTTCCTCATTTATAAAATGTAAACAGTAAACAATCACATGTGGCCTCTCAAATAAGTTATAGGCAGGCAAGCTTTAGCAATATTATATCATACAGATATGCATGATCTTATGAATTAATGACAGAGTAATTATGACAATTATAACGATTATTTTCATGACAAAGTAGAGGACAGACAGTATGAATTTGTTCTTTTCTGTGAACTAAGGGCTAGAGATAAATTTTTTTTTAAAGATTTACTTATTTATGCATACAGAGTTGCGGTACAGGCCAGAGGTGCAGGGGTGATGAGAGGAATAACCAGAGACAGAGTGGGGAGCAGAACAGGCAGATTGAAGAAGTACAATACTGAGGGGAGCAGCGGGTGGGTCAGAAGTCTGCCACACCATGTGGGTTACCTCCAGGGTAGGGATTGAACTCATGCTGAAGTGGCTTTAGCTTCTTAGTGCTGTGCTTTAACTCACTGTGCCACCAGGGAGGGCCTGATAAAAGGTTGTTTCTCAAGAAGTAGACACCAAAACAGGTCAGCGCAATCCCCAAAAGGAAAACTGAGAGAGGTTTGGGTGATGGTGGTGCCCACAAGTCCTGTTTAGAGGGGTCACCCTCAGTGCCACTGTTCTCTATAGACAAAGGATGGCTTCTGTATCTTGGTGGAGAGTGGGGGCACCAGTCCAGGGGAAAGGAGACACTCTGGGCAGAAAGGAGTATGGTATCTTAAGTGAAGTATAATTTATGCCAGTTTAGTGATGACTTTTGATCTCAGTAAACATATAGTTGGTTCTTAGTGGACCAGGTAAAGGAGAAGATTTGTAATTTTCAAAATGCAGTCTCACCTTGGAGGCAAGTTTTGTAAGCAGGGAGATTTCCCATTTCAAGTAGAACTTAAAACCAGGATGCAACCATAGAGCCCAGTGACCCAATTTCCTATGGTTAGTAGAGATTCTAATAGCCCACAGTCATTAGATAACATACACCTCAGGGGGTGGGGGGGGGCGCATTTTGCATTTAAATAAAAAGCTGCTACTACAACTAGATATAGTATTGGGTTGTGGTTGTGTGTGTGGGTGTGTTGTGTGCATGTGGACCTGTGTGAGACAGAAGCCCCAGAAGATCACAGCAACACTGTATTGTTAGTTACATCATTAGGTACTAAAGATAAGACTGAATATTGTTAATTTAGCTTCTTTATAAATTTAAGTAAACAATTTACCTATAAATGTAACTTCAATGAAAAAGGAAAAAATCCTTAAAGACACTTTCCAATTTGCCCCATCTTTAAATTAATTCCCCCTACTATTGTATCATTAATGTTTAACCTATTCTGTCTCTGTTTATAAAGCCAGCATTTAAGATAGGGATGAGTATTTGAAGATCTCTTGTCTCCTACTCTGGGTCTGTCTTTGTTCTCCCTGGGAGGAGGCTGGATTAGAACCGATGCCCTGGGGGTATAATCATCTATCTGTTCAGCTGTTTTCTCCTCTCTGGTTCCCCTTAGAGATCATCCTACTCTGCAGTTTTGCTGCATCTATTCAGAGATGCTACTCCCCTTGGCCATCTGAGGCTGCAGGATTCTGAGATTCAGATAGGCTGTGGTGGTGGTGATGGTGTCTGTGGTCTTGTCATTTCATTGTTTCCAATAATAAAAACAAGGAGGGCAGGCCCTATTTTTCCCTCTTCCTTCGTGTTTACCTTGGGAGAGTGCTGAGTGGGATCTGGGTCTGGATTCCAGTATTTTGTCCATAACATTATCACAATGCTATCAAAACTGTCCTCACTGCTAATACTGTCTCCTAAAGAATTACTGTTAGACTCAATCGCTTCACTATAATGCAACTGCTCCTAGTTTTCACCATTATGCACCCAGATGCTCTACATCTATTAGGAAAATCACTGTGATGATAATTTTTGCTGGCATGGCTTTATTTATTAAAGATGATTTTCTTGTGTATATTACAGAAAATGGAATTAATGTATTCAGACATAAAGCAATTTCATGGCTCTTAATACATGTTACCAAATCACTATCCAGAACTGGTGGACTCATGTTCAGTAGGCTTTATAAAGGAAGGGAGTCTTTATGATGGTGGTAGGTGCCACGAACTATAGAAAACAGCAGGTAACAAAGGTTTTTCAAGAAACCATGAAGGATTAACCACCCAGAGGTGGGGACTAGCATGGAACCTACACTGGAGTATTTGCCCAGTTCAGAGATCAGTGGCCTCAGATAAAAGCCAGGAGTCTGGCCCTCCCTGGTGGTGCAGCGGGTTAAAGCACAGCACTAAGAAGCGAAAGCCACTTCAGCATGAGTTTGAGCCTTCCCCGGAGGTGACCCACATGGCACTGCAGACCTCTCTGACCCACCCACTGCTCCCCTCAGCAGTGTACTTCGTCAGTCGACCTGTCCTGCTCCCCACTCTGTCTCTGGTGAATCCTCTTACTGCCCCAGTACCTCTGGCCTGTATCCCAGTTTCTGTATGCATAAGTAAATAATTTTTTTTTTAAAAAGCCAGGAATCTGCCAGCTTCCCCCAGCAGCCACTGCGTTCCCTACATTTCCTCCTGTGAGCAATAGGACCAGGTGAGCTTCTGCATATTTTCCTTTTGTATATTCAGATCCCACTGCATTAATATTATTAATCAGTCTATCTTTGCTCAAAGTGAGTATTTTGACAGTAACCGTCCTCATTCAGGTTCCTGTGGACTGCTGTTTGTTTCAACTGTTAAGATTCTATTTTGGTCACTGTTGGTCTGTGTTTGTGTGTATTACTTACCTGATTCTCTTTCATTGTTATCTGTCCTTGTTCTTTACATCCAACGAAAGTTCTAACACATCTAAAAATCTTCTCATTTTCTTGTACCCTCTGAACAAAGTTGGCTGGAAAGAAGCCAATTCTGTCTTGAATCTTCCCCTGAAAGGGAAAAGGAGGCATGTAAGCATGATTGTGGCACTCAGTATAATTAGTTACCAAATAAGTTTTTTTTTTTTTAAATAGAAGGATAAACACCTACTTTCCACCAGTCTTCATTGGAGTCCTCTAGGAGGGTAATCATGTCTCCTGGGCTAAAATGGAGAGTGCACAGTTGGGTGAGGAAGTAGAGGAGGAAAACAAGACTAAATTGAAAGTAATAGTTTTTCACTTATAAAAATAACCCTAAAATAAATAAAAACAAAATAAACATGACTTTGAGTTCTTTCCACCCATAAAAATAGCTGTCAGACATCAAAACCAAATGTAACTTGTATTTTTTTTAAAAAATATATCTTTAGCTTTACTTTTATGTGTAGATGAACATACTTGCATTTTATAATCATCTTGGAAAACTTCCTTTTGCTGTTTTGTTTTTCTCCACTCATTTTCTCCTTCCCCCTGAAATTTATAGCCACTCCATGTTGGCATTTCTGGATCAGAGATCTTGTCTTCCTTAGATATTTCCCATCTCTTCCTCTCTATGTCCTTACTTTTTTTTTCACTTTCATCTTCTTAATTGCTTATTTGTGTCTGGGGCTTATATATGCTACTGTTTATCATAATTCTGAGGCATTTTAAGGAAAAATTAATTTCCAAGGGCTTGTTATTATTTTCTGAGTTTTCATTTATATTTTTGACTTCTGTTGTGGATGCAACTTTATAATGGATCTTTCTGTATATCTGCAATGTATCTCTCCCAAGTTCAAGGTTATTTTAGACTCTTTGTAAAAGAACCAGTGAGCCAACAGATGCATTTCATTTTTGGATGCTTGGAAGTAGGGCTAGTCAGCAGTCTGGGGCCTCCTACTACCGTGGCTGACTAAACAAGAGGGAGTAGGCGAGTTTACTATCCACCCTAGTAGAGTGACCTTTCCTTTTTTCCTCTGCATTCTAGATGGTCTGGCGGTCCACAGTTACCTAACCACAATCCTTTTTCATTTTCCGATTACTCTGCCCACATAGAACCCTCCTTGGTCATGGTTCCCTTCCTCAGAATACAGGTATTAGCCTAATTCTGGAGTCAAACACCATTACCACCTATTGCTCATTATAAGCAGTGCTGTGTGTTGTAAACACAGATGGAACGCTGGACCAATGATAGATCCCATGACAACACTCTGTAACAAACACTTCCGAAGCTCATGCATATGCCCGGGTGTTGACTTGGAGGCCTGTGATGACTTTCCCTACTCCACGTTTCTCATGCTCCAGAAGGCTAGTTTGGACATCAGGGTTGGATGCCAGAGGTTCAAAAGCAGCAAATGGAAATATGCCAAATATAGAAGACCTCTAAGTTCTCAGTTTAGAACTAACCCACTGTCACGTCTGCCTTATTGGGTAAAATATGTCACAAGGTCACAAGAGATGGGGTAGGCAGCCCCTCCTCTTTGGTGAGAGGAACTGCACAGTCTCATGGCAGAGGTTAAGGATGCAGGGAGGGGTGATGAGTTTGGGCTATGAATGCAACTATGTCACTGGTGGCACCCTCATGCATTTCAGTATCCAGGTGGTGTGTTCAGTATCTCCATATTCCTCCATTGGCAGCTGGCCTTTCTGGGAGTGTCCTTAAGTCTCTGGTCCTCTCCATTGTTCACTACCCAATCCTATTTGTTGCTGTCTGCCAGGAAACCCTAGATTTTGGGTTCTCTGACAGCATTACTTATTATTTACCAGTACTGTTATGGATGATTCCTAAGACTATGTCTTTTCTGACAATTAGACAGGGTTGGAGCCGGAGAAGTAGTAGATTTTTGTGCTTATTTTGCTGTTCTGATTCAATCGCCTCTGCTGTCATTTTCAATTCTCAGTTAATATCTATCTTCGTAGGGGATTCCAAATATAATAGGCTTGTTGCACCTGAAGCATTAAACACAACTGGCATTTTGCTATTTCAACAGTCACAGTTTCATGCTGATGCCGCAGAAAGCGAGATGACTGAAAAACACTCTTTTCCCAGGTGAAGGATTTAATTAAGCAGGCAGGATGAAAGTCATGTAGAGAAATCTTTTTGGCTCCAGCAGATTTTATTTAACCTAATAACCTAAGAAACCATGTGTTAGTATCAAATCCAATGGCTGTTGATGGGTGTGTAGAAATTGTAAGTAGGGAATAAGGCTTGAAATCGGGGCAGGTACCTTCTCTTATTAGTGAGAAAGGGAGCTGGCAGAATGTAACCTCTACCTCGAGTCTGATGCTCACTCTCTCCCGTCCCAAGGTGGACGGTCCCTGAGCACATGACCCACTGCAGTAAACCACACTTTACAGTAAGGCAGTCACTGGAATCCAAGCTATCATTTTGTGAGAAATACCAGACATATTTCTGACAGGGTGATGGGACACTGTCTTTTCCTATAAAAGAGCTCTGCCAGGATCAGAAAATTGCCTGGTGAGACAAGTTATATTCATCTGCTTCTTTGTTCTTTTCAACAACTCTCTCCAGAGTTTACCCGGTCTCAAGATATATTCCAGAATGCTGACTCTGAAAAAGCGATTTTACTGATCATTATTTATACTTTGATGAATAGGGTCGTCACTGGAGCTAATACTCAGTGACAGTGGTGGGTCATACATAATGAAACATTTAAATAAATACAGAAAATAATAATTATATAATGTTTCTATAACCTAATTACAGAACATATGACATAAATAATAGAAATAAAAATATTTTACATAATTACAAACACATAACATATGTATATATAACTTAATTATAGCACGAAAATAGAATTGCAAACATCTTAAGGGCTAGGAAGGGAATAGCGGGATATAATCATAAAGAATAAGTGTAGACACTTACTGGCATTAGAAAAATACTCTAACCATCTGGCAGAGATAGCTAGTGCCTCTTTCACCTTAGGGAGAATCCTGCTCAGAACAGCACTTGAATTTCAGACGGCAACTCTAACATCTGGCCAGCCGCCCCTGGTGTGGGATTTGCACTGCCCTCCACACCTCTGTCCGGCAGTCTCAGTAATTTTTCCCACCAAGCCTGGATTCAGATTTCAAACACAGGGCCTTGAGTTGGGCGTATAAGATAAAAACCACTTTGTGTAGTATAATATTACTTATTTTTTAAAAATGTGTTTTGACCCTGTTTTAAAATTCTGGCTAGAAGTTGGTCATTTCCCTTCTGAAGCAACTGATTAGGAAAACACCTCTGACCTCTTCCCTTACTGGGCTCTTCTCCTTCTGGGTCAGGATGTACCAGCCTTAGCCCCAGTGACTCAACTAGGGGCAGCTTCTGTGCCGACACCCAAGAACACACTGGAATGAGGGAATTCACAGGGGTTCCAGAAACTTCACTAAGCCCCTGCTGGCCACACATATGCTGCATCTACGCTCCAGCTTGCTACGTGACTCCCAGCTGCAGCCCAGGCTGGCCCTCGTTGCAGCCCTTCTCTCTCAACCGTGACTTCTCTTTTCACTGTTAACTTTGTTCTCTCCTTTGTCCCTCAGTGTTGGTGTGTGGCGTTCCGTCATCCATCGAAGAACTAAATTCACACATCCCGCCTACCTGCTCTTTATAAGGGGAACCATCCCTGAGGGAAGGAGACTTAGTGCCTAAAATTCTCCTTTCTGTGATTGGCGACTGGGACTATACCAGTACATGATTCTGTTTCCAATTGCTTCCTACCTTTGTGTCTGACAGGTCCCTTTCCATGAAACAATTTTTGTTTTGTTCAGTTTAAACACTGCAGGGAGGTTCAAAGAAAGTCCTGTTCTGGTCTAACAGCTACTCTCTCTCTCAAGTGACTTTGTGTTCCTGATCTACAGAGTTTATAATACAACTCTGCTTTTCTTTCCAAATTCTTGGAAGTAAACTTGTCAGGTGTCCAAGTTCCTTTTGCTTAGTCTCACCAGAGCATCCTGAGTTCAGGTAAGTACTCTGGTTTTTTTGTAAACCCAACTTCTCTGCCATGACATAAGCATAGTGCAATCAGCAGAAACAGCATCATTGTCCTCCTTGAAGCAGAACTCAGAGCAGTACAAACACTCTCTTTTTTTTTTGTTTGCTCATTGCACTTTGTCTTAGGTCCAGGGGAAGATTGTCAGGCCGTAAAAGCATGATCTGTGGCATGACTTGAAGTGATGAGGGAACTGTTTGTCATCAAGAGTAGGACAAAGTAGCAGGAGCTAACTGTATAGTATCTGGCATAATGGTGCAGAGGACAGTTCATTTGTGAGTATGTGTGCTGACGTCAGGCTGATGGTTGCTCTATGGGATGATCTCTAAGTCTTTTGGCTCTCCCATTTCTCAATTTCCCACTTGAACATAGCACTCTATGTCTTCCAATAAAATGGTGTCAGGTACTTGGATAGCTGTGGACAGAGTGTATGAATGAGGTAAATTGAGCCCAGTCAGTTATGAGGAACTCCTCAGCAAGATGTTTCAAAGACAGCTTAGTCTTCTATGGGTTGGGCTCTTGGGGAGTTATCCAGAGGCCTTTCTCCACCAGCCTCTTTCCATTCCTGTGTGGAACTCAGACGCTAGGAGAGGAGACACTCCTGACAGGGTCACTGCATCTGAGGAATGCATTCTCATAGTCTGAGACAACCTGAGGCTTTGGTCCTACCCCCCTCTGAGAAGCATGTGGACAAGGTAGGGAGCTTTGGGTCTCCTTTGCTTTTATAATAATTAGGATGTCCTGCACATTTTGGAGTCCAAAGGAGATTAATCTTTGTCTCACTCTTTGGTATCAAGTAGAAGGAAATTATATGACAATCCAGTCTTCTTTGAATGTTTTACAACATTCAACATGTGCACTGAGGCTGAAAAGCGAAATGTGAAGCTGAAAAGCTTTTTCTAAACATCACTGTTGTTGTCTATGAATTCAGGGTATTAATAGTATCTACTTCATCAACATTTCTGAGGATTAAATGAGTTAATGCTTGTAAAACACTTTAGATAAGCCCCCAATAAATGGTGACTATTATTGTTGCGAAGACCATAGTTACTACCCTCAAGATGTTGGTGATCTTAAAGGGGAAACACTTGAAGCCAGTTATTTATAGTGTCATCACCAAATGAGGAGAAATACACCACAGGGGCACAAACAAGCTTGGAATTGACTCCAAACAAAAATCCCAA